GTCCCTAAACCCTAAACCCTCTCTCCCTCCCTGCGCAGCCGGAATAGGAATCGGTCGTTGTGTCTGACTGTCTGATTGACCCGGGTGCGCCGGAAACCCCCCTAACATTAAAACCAAACCGCCGAAATCCAGTTTTAACATTAGGGAGGGGGGGGGCCTTTTAATAATAGGGGGAAGGGATTATAACTGTGTATATATATATATATTTAATACATATGAAAACACATACATACACCTCTATAAGTACTATATGTACACATGCACAAACATGTGTATACAGCTGGTTCGTCAACTTCCGTCATGGTGTCGCCAATTCCTGCGTGTCTAGCTTCGCGTTGAGGCAAAGATGTGCAACCTATTTCCTGGCATTCTGCAGGTTCTCCTGCGACGCCGCCTCCCTCCTTCACGCTGCCGGCTGTGCCGCCGCCATCACCAGTCCCGGCGAGTGCTCCTGCCAGTCCGGAGCAGCCACCTCAGACTCCGGGTTTGTGGATATGATATGTGAGGTTCGACTGTGGTTTGGGTGAAGGTGGATGGCTGCTGTCAACGGGATCCATTACTTGCTCCGCGGTTGCAGTTTGTTTCGAGGTTTGCGGTCTTGCGATCGCTTCCGGGCCATGTTTTTGAAACCTCAAAAATGGTCGGTAACTGGCTTGGCCCTTCTCCAGAAATCCGGAAATGGCTAGTGTCTGTTCACTTCGGCGTATGAAGATATACCCCCCTCCAACAACGGAACAAAGCACACTTGCATCTGCATAAGGACAACGTAGCCTGATCCGGTCAGCTCAGCTTACGGTGCAATCACTCACTGGAAGACAGCTTGCGATAAGCAGCAGTGTTGGCTTCTGCAAAACTAGGACAAGGCGTCCGCTCAGTGCTGATATCCTTAATTCAGTTGTGCAGTCGGGCGTTCAGAGAGCCATAGTTCCCATCCATGGGACCTTGGAAAAGAACCACCGGAGGCAATGCACTTAGAAAAAATGCAGACCGTCAGCCCTATAAGCCCTATAGACCCCAAGCCCTAATCGTTTCTCAATCTTTTGGCCCTACAAGCCCCAAACCCCAAACCCCAAACCCTAATCCTTTGGAAAAATCTTTTGGCCTCATAAGCCCCCAACACCAAACCCTAATCCTTTGGCCCTATAAGCCCTAAATCCACCAAACAACAAAAACTCTTTTGGTTAGAAGCTGGTCCTGTGAGCCGCTTCGAGGCCGGTGCCGGTGCTGCAGCCTCGGCCTCTACAGGTGGGCTTGGGGGGGGGGGGTTCCGGATCGCAGGGAGGTCTTCCAGTCTTACATTTAGGTCCTTAACCTTCCCCGGCCGACTTCACAAGCCCGGGTGCAAAAAAGGGGTTGAAGGACAAGTCCTAAAGTAGGCATAAGAGGTTGATGGGTTTGGGGTTTTAGGGTTGAAGGCAAACGGGAGTCCGGCACGGAAATTTCCGGTACTGCGCACTTGTATTCCACTGATAGCGGTCGCAAGCTAGTACCTGGACCCCAACAGTATGTAGAAGAAAAGCCTTTTGCAGGTGTGGGGCCATTCTTGTACTTACTTTTGGGGGGTTTAGGTAAGCTTCATGCCTCGTCTCCCTCCGGTTCTGTGTACATCCCTCGCTTGAGCCTCAAGGTGGCAGGAGGCCTCAACCGGATGGCCTGGGGCTTAGGGTGCCGGTTTAGGGTTTAGGGTTTAGGGTGCGTACAAAGCCCAAAGTCAGAAATCGCGGCCTCGTGAGTGCAGCAGCGATTTCTGACTGTGCTGAGGGGTCACATACGTTTAAGGCAGGCAGGTGCACACATTCAGTTTCACTGGTGGCCATGGGATGCAATGCTCCACTGTTGCTGTTCATCTTCTTGAGCTTGAGATGCCCCGGCTTTTTTATCCGGAGTCTCGTTCAACAAGCTGTCCGAAAACTTGGCCATGGTGATTGATGCAAGCTCACAGACCTTGCTTAGATCGTCCGAATGATTGAAGCCAAATGGCTCTCAAAGCCCTCTACAGCCCCACAAAACCACCGAATATTGCCAGCGGAGAGCTCCAAACTGTGAAAGACCATACCAGAAGCATGCCAATAGTACCAGAAAGTCGCGACCACCGTGACATGCGAACGTGCTTAAATTGCTTGGGAAGAATATGGGTCGCAACTAGTTGCTATCTGCCACTGTGGCCAGGACGACAATAACTAGCGGCAGGACAGGAGACCAGCAAGTGGGCACCACGACAGCAGGAGAGCACGAAGAGACCGGCAAGCCACCACCAGGAGGGCACCAGGAGAGCACCAAGACACCACAAGAAATACCAGGAGACCACGAATGGACCACTATGAGAATACCAGGAGACCACCCGGACACCAGGGATGCCTTCCCAAGTACTTGCGGGGTTCAGAAACATTCGAGGGCACGGCGGACTCGCTTTCCCCAGTAAAAGTGCTTCCCCCCAGCAACTGGTGCGTTTCGAGGGCAGCCGACTTTGCTCCCCCTATGCTTGCGAGATCCAGAGGAACACATTAAGTCTTAAGCCGCTTCCCCCAGGCACTGCCGTGATTCAAGGTTTCGAGCGCAAAAGTGGTCCATGTTGCCTTATTGTTAGGAGTTCTCCACAAACAACAGGACATCAGCGAAACCTATGCACCGCACCACAGCGACAGACGTGTTCCACGAGCATCCGGTGTAAATAATAGGACACAGAGACCCAATTGTCAGCATGTGCTGTAAACACAGGACGGAGAAAACCTCTTTCCCCGCGCAAGCGCGCGTGGTCGCACCGCACGCGAACAGCAATCAAATCTCTGTACTCCCAGCACAAGAGTGCCAAAAGTATGCAATTCGAATTTGGGGAACAACATTACACCCCAAAGCCTTTAACGCCCTAGAACCATCTTCACGCCCGATAACTGTTTAACTCCAACAGCCCTGACGGCTTTGAACCCAGGTTGGGCCACAGGAGACGTTTCCCTTTCGGCACCCTGACGACTCCGCCGGCTCTGCCATGACCCCATAAGGGTACCATTAGGTACCATAAGAGCTACTGTTATGGGGTATCGGGGATCTATTTCGCGGTCGTTATGAGAGCTTAGGGCTAGGAATCTCCCCTAACCCCCCAGGTACCTACTACTATATAGGGTACTAGAGCCCCTAGGGCCCCATATAGTAGGTACCTGGTTCGCGTTCATCTCGCCAGCTTCTAAACCCTAAACCCTAAACCCTAAACCCTAAACCTAAACCCTAAACCCTAAACCTAAACCCTAAACCCTAAACCCTAAACCCCGAAGACCCGGTGCCAGGACGGCCATGAAGCCTCCCGTGGTTCAGCCGGGAGTCGCCAAGGACGGAGACAGTTGCAGGATGGGTCTGAGGCACTGTAAGTTTTGGGGTTTAGGGTTTAGGGTTTAGGGTTTAGGGTTTAGGGTATAATAATTACCTATACCATTTTGGGGGTTCCTTATTATATTTATGGTATACTGGGCCCTTACATTAGGGTTGCTACAAAGAGTTCGGTTTAGAGCTTAACCTTTTGGAAACTGACGGCACATTCAGAGTTTAGAGTCTAGAGTCTATAGAGGCTTTCCCCACATGCAGAATCGGAACGCCAAACCCTGACAGGAAGATCAGCAGATGCTAGCGGCTAGGTTCAAAGGCTAAGGACAGACTCACTTTTACTTTCGCTCGCACGGTTTTCTGGGCCCTGGGTGGAGGCAAAGCTTCTTTGCAGCCTGTTCAACCCCATGAACCTCTCCGCTGCTCGTAGAATACGAAAGCGCCTGTGACCGTGCTGCCGTTGCTTGTGCTGCCCATGGGTCTGGCTGGGTTAGAAGTTTTACACGGATGGATTATACAACTTGATGGGGGTTCCAATCACGAGATGGACTTTATTGTTGCTCTTGGCTATCTAGTTGCGGTTTCTACAAGACAGCGTGTGCGCGTTTCCGAGACAAAGGATACCCAGTGGCCAACCAACAAGCTCCACGCAGAGTCAGGGATATGTCTGCTGGATTGAAGCCCATGCATGCACTGCCAGGGGAAAATGCTGGCTCCGCTGGATGAGGTGCCTGGGAATGCAATGGTTGATCTTCGCAGACTAACCACATCCATGTTGGATTTTGCAAGAAGAATTCAGCATTCCCCAGCGAAGGCAGAGTATGTGCGGGCCATGCTGTTCAAGTACCTTGAAGGCTGTAGGTTTGGCACTTTCTGGTACCGGCTGTGAACTTCGTCATTCGGCCGAGGTTCTAGGCAACTATCTCCGCGACAGAACGGGAGGTTCACCTGTCGAGCGTGAAACCGTTCTCGCCATTGCTTTGCGGTTATATGTATATAGATAGACACAATTATGTGTATATGTATATATGTATGTATGTGTATATATATATATTTATACTCATTCCTGTGACGCTCTACACCTGATTCTGATGACGTCCTGAAATACTGGTCGATACACTCGGATTCGTCAAGGATTGGGGTTAGACCAGCTCTGGCATTGGCAGAATCTGCTATTTGTGTTCCAGTTCAGCAGAGGAACATACCTGCTAACAGACCCAGAAGCGCCTAACCGCACAGACTGAGAGAGCAAGAGAGGGAAGGAGAGAGGGGGAGAGGCAGAGTGAGAACAAGAACTCGCGCATGCACACCCACCCAGCAGGCATGCAAGACAGACAGATAGACAAGCTCGTGCACAAACGCAAGCGTAGACAACTTAGGCCAACACACACACACACACACACACCCACACCCACACCCACACCCACACCCACACCCACACCCACACCCACACCCACACGCACACGCACACGCGCACGCGCACGCACACGCACACGCACAGGCACACCCACACGCGCACGCGCACGAGCACGCGCACGCGCACGCACACGCGCCTGCGCACGCACACGCACACGCGCGAATGAAAGCTTGCCGACTTTTGATTTGCACCCTCTTGCGAGCTTTCATGTAAAGATCACAGCCAGCCTGACCCCCGCGGTTGCGCAGTCGAGCATAAATCTGCCGGTTGCGGCGCCAGGTAGTGAAGGCATGCACGTGTTCGACATGGCTGCCGGGGCCCATCGTTGTTATGAGGGAGCATCTTTTGTGTTCGGTGTTTCCTTATTTTCATCCTTTTGGAAGCTGTGCCCCCAATATAGCTCTGCTCTGCACATGGGTTGAAGTTAGCGGGATCAACATGAGCAGCTTCTGAAAGTCGAGCGAGTTCCGGCTCATGGCATCTGTGCGGCACCAGGGCAGTCCAAGTTAGTGTGATCTTTGTAGTGCCAGGCTGGCAGTTTTGAGCAGCCCCTCGAAGACTGCAGCATGATTCCACCTTCTCCACTTACGTGATGCAGACTTTGGTCCAGGATCCTAGGACGGCGTCTAAGTCTAAGTCTTAGTGGGGTGTCAGAGAGTCATTTGGTTACTCCGTTCTTACTTCCTTGCTCCTGCGTGAGACTCAAAGCTGCGTGCTATTGCTGACACCAAACCCCCCAGGTACCTACTATATAGGGTACTACAGCCCCTAGGGCCCTATATAGTAGGTACCTGGGGGGTTAGGGGACGATATTCTTTCTATAGCGGTTGGTTAATCGATGGCTCTTACGCCAGATCAGAGTCAGACTATGTTCTATTGCTGATGACATGATAGCAGTCATAAATCATAAATTCTTTTAGCTACTCTGGAAGCGGCCCTACATCCGAAGCCATCTTAAATAGACTCACCCTAAACCCCACACTAGTCGGTATAGAGCGACATGGACCTCCAGCTCCGGGTGCCGCCCGACCGGTGGTGCATCACGCGCAGCGAGTTCTATGCCTTCATCGAGGTGTGGCGCGGAGATTAGGGTGTCGGGGGATGACAGCCACTCCGATGATGCATGGTTTCTTTATGAAAGAAGGCAACATGAACGCATTTTGCATATGAAAAACCTGAGCTGCAAAGCCTGGCGTGAGGAAGTTCGCGAGCTTTGGAAGCTGGACAAAATTCCAGACGGCGATGTCCCAAACCCTTTTCACAACGACCCGCACCATGGGCCCAACCTCTACCAGGCAGCTTGTATGCCAACGGTTGATGTCCCCGGGTTTAGCGCACAAGGTTCGAGGATCTGCTGTAGTGCACCGAGCGAGGATAGCCGTGTGGCTACCCAGAAGTTCAAAGGGCGGCAGTTGGTACGGGATGCAGCAAATCACAGCTGCACCATGTTACCCATTTGACAGAGTTTGGCATTACACGTACAGGATGTGGACATAGGCTTCCTCCCAATTGCGCGACGACTACCGTGGGGTTCAGTATGCTTGAGCCATGGAGAGATCGTGACAGAGATGGGAGAGCTTAGCTATCTCAGCAGGTGAATCCGTAGAGATGTTCTGCATGGAAGCAGTCACTGCAGCAGCTTTTGATGCATCGCAAGATTGCACAGGCTCTGGAGGTCAGGTTTGCTATTCGATAGAGGCTGCTTCGTCAACCAAAGGTCAACCAGCACTTCGTCAAGCCTGTGACATGGGCGGCCGGCGGAATGTCCTATGCGCTGATGAAGCATCCAGCTGGCTTGCCGTGCCAGGCCCGTCTGCCTTCTGGTCGTGTCATCTGACGGGCTGTAACCTGCAGGCACCATCAACACTGCACAACTGGAGACAGTAGCCATGATGTACTTTCGTGTCCATTCCAGCTAGGTTTGTGCTTCAGAGCGTACGTCTTTGGCTGAATCAATCTTGAGGGTCACGTGGGCTGTTGGGTTTCGGGCGAGCTTGCTGAAGGGAGTCGAGCCCAGAGCCGGGATAGTATAAGCTGCTCCCTGCATTCACACGCACAGTTTGGACGGAAAAATGAGCCTTGTTCTTTTTGGTGGGTTCTTTTGACAAGACTAGGAGGGCGATTAGCGAAAACTCGATCGCTTAAAAAGTGCGAACCCTTTCGATCGCGCGCAAGGGCGAACGCAAGCTATGCTCAAGGCTTGTTAAGGTTGATTCAAGAGTGATACTGAGCAACGTTGTGGGTAGATTAGCCTTGAAGCCCCAGTGTTTTACCTGCAGCCGAAGCTTATAGACTCGAAGCCACCAAGGATCAACACGCCACAGTCTTCAAAAACCTCGCGCGCGCAAGCACGCCCAAGGAAAGCGCAAGGGCGAAGCGCAAGGGATCCTAATTGGCATGCGTGGAACAAGGATATAGAACAACCCTCAAATGATGAAGAGATGTCTCGTTGCTTCAAGCTGGGTCCAGGCAAAGCGGCAGAGCATGCGCAAGACAACCTAGAGTCGCATTCCAAACATGACACATCACTGCATGAGTCAGCAAGTGCACAAAGGAAATGCTCATGACATCCCTACCCAGCCAGCATGACATGTCACAGGGAATGCCGAGTCACGAGCCCGACAATCTGCAAGATGTGAATTGTCAGCGTGACTCGCTCGTAAGGGAGATGATACAACAACGGCTTTTGCTGAATGCGCGACAGCACGTGAATGAACTCTGGCAGAAGCAAGTGGCATGCTGCATGGAGTTGTGACCCAGCATGTTTTGTGACGCACAGAGTTTCCTGAAAGATTTGTCCTTGCTGCCTGCGCTAATGTGCTCGCACGGTCAGGATGGTTACAGTGCATGCTTTGAGTCAAAACCAGTTCGACTTTGAATACTCGTTTTGAAACCGCGGCGGTGCGAACCGGCACCACCACAGATAAGACACTGGACAACCCTGGCTGCAGGCATTGAGAGCACTGGCTACTTTCTTGTTTGGTCCATTTACTTATGCTTTCCCCTTTTACTGCTGTCTTGCTGATGGTACTCTGCTCTCTGTCTTAGCAGTTAGGTAATTCCATGGACACAGTTTGCCATGCCCGCCTTGTGCGAGTGTGTGAGTCGGAAACCCTAAGCTCTACCCATATAGGCCCTAAAGTAGTTCCTTTTTGGGTTCATATATAGAATCCTATAAGGTAACCCCACAAAGGAACTACTATGGGGCCTCTGGGTATGCTGAGTCTGCTGTATTCCAGGTGTTTCTGTCCCACGCCTGGGCCGAAGGCCTCTTCGAGTTCGGCGACTTAGCACCTCTGATGCACCACAAGAGAGGGAGTGTTTAGGGTTTAGGGCTCCTCTGATGCACCACCAGAGAGGGAGGGGTGTTCAGGGTCGGCAGCGTCTTCTTAGGGTTCGAAGCTTTCTGCAACCGCGGTTGGCATGTATTCGCACATGCTTTTCATTTTCTGGACAAGGAGCGAGTAAAGGAACTGGAGCCATGAAAGTCTTGACATGGCCCGATCAATGGAAAGACGGTAGCACGAGAATTCTTCTTCCCATGGCCATCAGCGCAAAGAGCGGCTTTTGCGGGCATCCACTGATATTTCAGGTGCACCGCGGCTGGCCACGTCTGCAGGGCATTGTGAACCTGTGATTTGGCAGACATAGCAAGCTGATCTGCATGAGCGACGGCTCAAGGGCTAGAGGACGCGTGGTTTGGTTTCGGACGTAGTGGGCTAGGACTGAGCCAAGACATTCCAGCTGATCTTGGAGAAAATTGCTCCAGGTCTTTCGACATAATGAGCCTTCTATTTCCCTAACCCCCCAGGTACCTACTATATAGGGCCCTAGGGGCTCAAGTACCCTATATAGTAGGTACTTGGGGGGTTGGGGTTTGACATACCAACATCGTGCAGTGACGTTCTGGAGGGACGGTCCGGGTGCTCTTCAGTCCTTGCTCTGGCGGGTGGCGGTGGTGTGATGGTGCTGCCCATGATTTTCAAGAGCTTCCTCATGTTGATAGCGGCAACGATAGAGTCCGATAGAGCAGAAACAGCACAGATGGGGTCGCGTGTTCATCACTTCATTCGCCGTAGTGGCATCCCTGCAGAAGTAGCCCGTTAGCAAGTTGATGCCTTCCCGACCCTGCGAGTCCTGTTTGCGAAGCTCAGGTACTGCTGCCTCCTGGCCAACCCGCAGAACCTCAACATCGAAGACCTCTTGAGCGTTCCTCCGGAGGACAGTTGTGTTACACAGCATTCCTGCATGGCACCATGTGCTTTAGTTGCCCATCCCATGGCCACACTTAGAAAGATGCCTGTGGGATCCACCCTTGGCTTCGGACTCTGAAACCGTATCTCCACCTGCAGTTAACGGGTCGTGCTAGGAAAGCCCCTTCGCCAAAGCTATGAAGAGCGCAACGCATGTGCTGGCAACTTGGCATATACCGCAGTGTGCCAAAACCCTACGAGATCAGATGATGACGTCGAGTACATGACGACTCCGCTGTGCGAGTCAAGCTCTCGGCCGTCTCCTGGGCTCCATGAGCCTTCGGAGGTCGAGCTGGAGGGCCGGTATCTTTATTCCCCTTAAGTTTCGATGAATGCAGCATGGATATCACGACTGCTCTTATGGAGGTGTTATTCAGGAGTCTGTCTGAGCATGTTGGTGCATCCGATCATGACTAAGATTGCCGGGATAGAGTACTCGAGTACTTGATGGTTTCGACGGTCGGTGAGGCTGATAGCTCTGTAGGTCTCGAGAACCTTGGATTTCCTGTCAAGCTCTTCGACCCGGTAAAAGTGCATCAGTTGTTGCAAGACGGGGGTATAGGGTTAACAGTTATATGCAGTTGGATTTATGGTTTAGGGTTCAGATTAGCCTCGTTAGGTTCCCAGCAGAGGCTCTTGCAGGCTGGATGCAAAAAGGGTTCGGATTACTAACACTAAACAGGTTGTCTTAACAATAGACTCATGGGACGTGGCTTTGGCAAATTCCCCTTTGCAGCCCAGACGCCCGATGCTGCCGAAACCTTTCGGAAGAAGCTCTGCAGGTGATCCCGAATGACACAGTCAGCATCTACACGAGATTATGGTGTGTCTTTGAGGACCCGCAATTTGCAATTGCCCTGTTTTGCTCCCTGCTCTGGGTTGCCTGCGCCGCGCAGGCTTACCTCGGCACGCAGTGGCAGAAGGTTGTACTGATGCCGGCCAGGCCTGAAGGAGCAATGCCACGTACCCTAGCGCAGCAATGTGGGGTAACATGCCCTAACCCCCCAGGTACCTACTATATAGGGTACTAGAGCCCCTAGGGCCCTATATAGTAGGTACCTGGGGGGTTAAGGGATAGCAGGAGCTAACCTTTAATGCAGCGTAAGCTACGCTTACACGAAGTGTTGTTACGTCCTAGAACGCAAGACACGTCGCAGAAAGGATCCTGGAGGGAACCTCCCAAGCTCTATCTGGACTTCGGCTTCGGGGTTGGGGTGTGTGGGTTGAACTGGCCCCTAGACAGGAGACCTTCCACCTTCTTCGGTTGCATGTTTCAACGGGCCGGTTCTCGGGGACTTTGTTCGGGATATTTGAGGTCTCAGACTTCGTTTGGTGACGAAGCACGGCTCTGTTGTGAGGCCGCGTCCCTCGGTTCAACGCGCCGTCGTGATGCAGACGTTGCTTCTCCCGTGGTTTCTCGGAGTGCTCGTCGGCTCTGTTCTGGCGGTGGCCCTACTGCACCACAGGAAGACCAAGAAGAGTCTTGTGATCTGGGCCATGTTTGTGCATCCCGGCATTAACCGTTATAAGCAAGTCTTGTCTTTGTAGGTGGAGATGGCATCTGCACGTAGACAGCACAAAGGCTTGTGCATCTATTTTAGATCGCTCTTGTCATGGATCACAGACGAGGAATGTCACGCTCACTGCCCTCTGTTTCATCACGTCATGCATGAGCAAGCTGAACACTCACTCCTGCCGGAGCTGGATGAAGTTCACCATCATTGGGAAGTTGCACATCTGCCTGACCTTGACCAGCGCGGCATTGGCATGCACATGGCTGAGCATTCCGATGCACCGTGGGACGAGTTGGGACCATTTCCTGCATTTCTTCATCCCAGTGGCAGTTACCCTGTTCAACCTCCTCCGTGTCGCCCAAATCAACCAGCAGCAACTGGAAAGCCGTGAGCTTTGCACGCAAGCTGGGAATCTCCACGTTCAGACCCTGGATGATGCCACATGCTCTCACCCACTCGATGAAGGGCGCATCCGCTTGGCCATTTCCGGCCGTGAGGACCTGCAGGGATTGGGCAGAAACTTTGCGGTGCAAAAGCAGTGCACTGCAAGTTGGGGTTGGGCCTGGGTTTGCTGCATGTCCTGCAGTGGATGTTGTCATTGTTGGCACACGGCAGACCGGTCAGTAGGTTCTTGCAACTGCTGCAGTGCCCTGGAGAGTTGGCAGGCCGAAGTGGACATGGCCATCCGAGTGCTTATGCAAGCTGGATCTTACAACGAGAGCTTGCGGCGGCGATACGAAGCTGGACTCAGTATCAAAGGTCTGGGGAACACGGATCTGATTATCAAGATCCCGCTCGCTTCTTGGCCAGCAGCTAAAGCGGCTGAATGGTACCTGAAGCCATGTCCTGGAATCTTGTTACAGCGGCGTCAAGGGTTTTTTAGTTTGGCCCTGTGATCGTTTGCGCCAATCTTCGCCAAGGGCCTTGCTTTCGTGCTAGCTTCCCAGGCCAAGTGCAAAGGGCCGAAGCCACAAACTCATATCTAGTTCCTAGGCCCTCAACCGACAGTCCCAAACCCATGCTGTCCTTGGCCCAGTTCCAAACCTGGCAGCAATCCGTGCTGCCCTTAGGTTTGCATCCTCTGGTCGCTCTCCATTATCGACTCATGTGGCTTCTTGGAAATTATGTTTGTGGACTGCGAACTACAATCCTTCTGGCTCTACATGTCTATATCGGTCATGCCCCTTGGCCGTTCAGCTCTACTTTGTTTGGTCGTTTTGCTGAATGTGTGTATATCTGTAGTTTGAGATTATGTATCCGGGGTTGCAGGGGATGGTAGGGGGAACCCAAACACGTGGGGCATCAGGCAATCAGCCCATGCAGCGCTTGCAAGCATGTGTGCCCCCATGCTGCAAGAAAGCATGCAGAACGGCATCGGCATGCAGCGACGATGACAAAAAACAATGGTTACAGACCCAGTACATATGCACGCCACAATGCATGTTTGCACCATACCCAGGTGTACTGCAAATTTGTGTTGTGGCTGCAACCCCCCATACAGCCTGGTGTTCCTGGTGCACGAGGTTGTTGTGCCAGCAGCTATAACCCAGCAAGGATTGCAACGACATTGTCGCTACCGTTTGTCACATGGCTCCTAGTTCGGCGTGGAGGCCCTCATCGCGGCGCTTTTGCAGCTTCCTGGCCTGTTTACCCCCACATTCTGTTGGGAGGGCGAAGCTAAGGGCCGAACGAAAGGCAGTTCTTGTGACATGAGTCTAGGTTTCGGCTCCATCTGCTGCACTGAGGCTACTAAGTTAAGTTGGGGAAGGCCTTGACTTCGGGAGGTGTGTGACTTTGGACGACGAGTGGAGATTCAGATGGGAAGGAATGTAAGCTTGAGGGAAGCGGACTCCCCATCACAAGAAAACCAACAAGACGAGATACAATCTTCAGACGATCGCAGACGTGTATACGCGTGTGTATATATATATATATATTTATAGTTATATATATATATATATACTCACGTACATGCCTAACTTAGACTTATATCTATGTTCCTGTCTATATCTATGTCTATATATATATGTGTGTGTATATATATATATATATAAATACACAGATGCTAGTGTCTGTATATATGCAACAGATATGTTCAGGATTACAACCCTGAAGCCCCAATGCAGCTTTACTGCTTGGGGGTTAATGGGTAGTTGTGGGGTTATAATTTGTGTAAGTATACTTATAACCCATATCAGGGGACTTGTAACCCCACTTATAACTACCCCTAAACCCTAAATCCTATAGAACCCTTTAAAGGAACCTTATAACCCCACTTGTAGCTACCCATGAACCTCCAAGTGGTGCCAAGTCCACGATTTGCTCGCGGGCGGCGATGGCAGCGCTCGGTGTGCCTCTCCTGGTGGAGATCTTCGACTTGATTTGCTCTCTCGGCCCTTTAGGATGTTTAAGGGCAAGGAAGCGCATGTTACCTTTATCGGCGGAATCTAGCGGTTTTTTGTGATTTTGCAAAGTATATGTTTTGTTTGTTTGGGGCTTAGAGGGGCTGAGTTAACTGCTAAGAAACCGTTTTGATGGGATCCTACCGTTCTCTCTATATCAATTCACTGGGTTTCAAGGTTTAGGGTTACAGGGGGTTAATGAAATACGTCATGGCTACGGGATTCTAGGATGTCTGGGCCTAAGCTTCTAGGACATCTTTCAGGTTTTCTAGGACGTTGTGAGCTTATGCTTGTAAAGGGTTTTGGGCCCTTGGCCTTAAAGCGGCTTGTGGGGTGTATGGTGTATGGGTTTGTGGGCTTTGCAGGAGCGTTTTGGGGGCTCAAGGTGCTTCAGGTCTATAGACGATTTTCGGGGAGGCGGCTTAACTTGTAGGGGTTATTCTGGTATCCCGTGTTCCGGACTTTAAGATGGTTTCGTTTTTTGCTAATATAGTGGGATTCAGCGTTTCAAGTTTAGGATTACCGCCGAACCCTCGCGATATCGTTCCGCTTGTATGCAGTATTTGAGAGCAAGGTGTTCGCTGCAGGGTCGAGATCGTTGGCATATCTGCAGATCTGGGATTTGGGCTAGCGGCAGTTAGCTTCCAGCGCGAATGTCTGGAGTGCTTCCGCAAGATGTTTAGGCCTTCGTATCTGCAGACCGTTGTGTAGGTTTAGACGAATACTCGAGCTCATGACCACACTAGTCTTTAGTTCGAAAATAGTACGTAGTACTTAGTCGTTGTCTCTGTTGACGATCGCTTCATGTTTTTTGTTGATACGTTGTTTTTGCTTCCTGCATCACGTCGGAATCCGTTTCTTCTTTTCTTCCACTGGAACTTTCATTAGTGCTTCCACCGCTACTGATAGCATCATCGCAACTGCTGGTGCTACTGCGACAGCATCGATTCCTTCCATGCTGCCAGTAGCACTGCTGTCAACAATATATCATGTGGGTGGTTGTCAAAATTATGGTCCCTTTTTGGGATACGGCACCTAATATTTAGGGTACCCCAAAAAGGGACCCTAATTTTGACAACCACCCATGTGCAAGAAGACGTAGCATCGATAGGTGTCTCAATGCGCAACCCCGCTCTTAGGATTGACTGCCACCTGCTGCGGGCTGCAGGCATCCTGGAGGATGGTGACTTGGTTTGGCTCATCGTCTTTATAGGCTTGTTGAAGGTGGAGACCGGTACCAGAACATGATAGGCATACTCTGAAGACAGCAGCAAGACCGCAGGACTAGTAAGAGCATGTGACAGGGATAGTCCGAGGAGCATAAATCAGCACGGTATGATCGAGTTGTCACCAGGCAGTGTGGGACCCTAACCCCCCAAATACCTCCTATATAGGATACTAGAGCCCCTATAGGGCCCTATGTAGTAGGTATTGAGCCTCACTGACCCACGGACTCCTCTCGCATGCAGCGTCGGTTTTCAGAGAACCCTCACCCCTCAAACGACTGTCTGTGAGGCACGGCTTAAGTACTTGTCGAATGCCAGAAAGTAAGCAGTTTTGGGGCGCTCACTTCTTGTTTCCCCAGCTAAGTCAAGTGATGCATGCATGTTCGGCCTGCAAAGCCCCCCTATACTGCTCCAGGCGAGTGTCCGACCCAGCTCAGCTGGCCCGGCTCCCAGATGTGGATGACGAGAGCACTCAGAGCAATACCTGGACCCCAACAGTATGTAGAATAATAGCCTTTTATGGGTTTTGGGCCATTATTCTACCTACTTTTGGGGGTTCAGGTACGGGTTATCATGAGTTGAATGCTGTCGCGGTGTTGTCACTCGTCCTTCCGACACAGAAGAGAGTCCTCCGAGGTTCATGGTGACCGGCTTCCGACCTATCGTCGCCCTGCTATCGGCGTTTTGGGCTCTTCTTGGACTCCACGTTTGCTTCGAGCGGAGTGTCCCGCGGCACCAACAGGTAATTTAGGAGGACAAGGGGGGCCAAGGGATGTCGGTGACAAGACAGTAGGGCTTCGGGGCGGCTGCGAAGCAGAGGATCGATTGTTAGCCATGTCAGGGCCAAGCAGCCTGGCAAAACGTGGGATTCAAGGAAAAGGCCCATCAACCCTGTGCAATCAATGCATCATCTTCGCTTGATCATTTGGGTCCGGTGCACGCTGTCTGAAATGGTGAACGCGCATTGTCGGTACACCCTAGTTGCAGCCGAACGCGCTGGTAGAGGAGCCGATCATGATGTAAGCTACAGAACTGTAGACAAGCACTTGGACACCAAGCAATGTGGCACAAGAGTAGCATGGCATTGAGAACCAGGACGAAAATTCTGGGGTTCCCAATGCAGAAGCCCTCACACGACGAAGATCTTGCAACTGCAACTGCGAGGCGTTTCAAGCCTTGTCCTGTCGGATCCCCAGTTTCTCATCAGCTTCCAGGGGGTTGCTTGGGTTCCGGCTTATAGGGTTTAGAGCTTATAGGGTTTAACTATAGGCTTATAGGGTTTAGAGATGCTAGGGTTTAATTATAGGGTTTAGGGCTTATAGGGCTTATAGGGTTTAGAGCTTATAGGGTTTAATTATAGGGTTTAGGGCTTATAGGGTTTAGAGGGTTGTGCCAGTGCTGTTCAAGTCGGCAGGTTTTGCTTTAGGAGTTCTTGGGCGGGTCCGGCTTGGATTGATGCTGGAACTTTAGCATCGAAGCCTTAATATAGGAGTATAGTATACTTGTAATAAGGAACCCCCAGAACCCTTTTCTAATTATTAATTAAGGCCCCTACAGTAAGCAGAATCGGAAACTCGGAGCAGGCAGAATCGACAATTATCCGTCATTATCTCGGAACTGGGGAGGAGGGAGCATTGCTGCAGCGTTGAGGAGTTCGTTCTTTGTGACGCTATTCGTTTTTGAGCTTCCCTTTTGGCGGAATGGAAGCGCTGATATCTGACATGGTCGACGAACAATTCTTTTGAGCTTTTAACATGGGGTGGGCACCAGAATATATACAACCCCGCTCAGCATGACTGTTTGAACTACGTGGACATTCGGAGGCGCACGCTTTGTCGTAGTTTGCGTCAGTTGGAAGTTCTACTTGAATCCGTTGCTTGCCCATCGAGGGGCTATGTGTTGGAAAAGCGCTGTGCAAACCGACAAGGTCTAGTCTAACCTCCCCCAATTACGCGATCATGGGGCCGGATCGCTTCATATCGTCAACCCTTGACACTTCAGCGTTGCATTTTCCAGAGCAGTTCAGAAACCCTCATACAGAAACCTCGCACGATTTCAGTATGCAAGTGGAGCAACCATAGAGCCCGCCGTAAACCCCTAAGTTTTCGATACGACATAGGAACAGCCCTAGCTGCCACTGCCCTTTATAACGGCCTTTCAACCCAAACTCAAGAAAGACAAGAACGTGACAAAACGTGCTGTTGCAGCCCGTATCAAATGGGAGTTTCCGAAAATAGGGGACCCTAATATAGCACCCTAAATAATAGGATCCTTATTATAAGGACCCCAAAGTAAGGTACCCTAATTTTCGGAAACTCCCAAATCCTGCTACGCCGGAGGCGCTGACTGTACAGAGCCTGAGAGTTCCGACTCTGAGGTCCGATGATGGGTCTGAAGGTTTACGTAATATAGGGGCCTAAATAGCTACCTATACTATTTCGGGGGTTCCTTATCAAGTATAATTTTAGCATAATATACCCCCAAAACCCTATTCTAATTATTAAGGCCTGAACATTAGGCTTCGGAGAGCTTGCTTCGTTTCCTGGCATATACCTCGGATCGAAAGGGCCTTGGAGCCTGTAGCGCTGTAGCCATGTTCAGTGTGCAGAGGTTCGTGGGTTTAGGGCTTACGGTTGGAGTTTCTGCCTTGTGGGATTGCTGAGTTTTCGGTGGAGTATGCTCAGGAGATGTAGATTCGTTGACCCAGGGCCTCCGGTGCCTTTGCAAGACCAGGCAACCAGAGGGATGGAATCGGATGCCGTCTCCGTCCGGTAGTCGTGCCCTGGTACAGTTGTGTAGGCTGTGGGTGACCAAATTTTCTGCGGCCGAAGCAACTGCGGCAGCAAGATGGGGCGATGACACCAACCGAAAACAACCAAATAATTATCACCAACAACAGCAGCAGCAGCAGCAACTGGAGACACCGCAGCAACGACAGCATCAACAACAACAACAACAACAACAACAACAACGACAACAGCAACACCAGCGCCGCCACCACCACCACCGCCGCCGCCGCCGCCACCGCCACCGCCACCGCCACCCCCACACCACCACCACCATGCACCACCACCGCCGCCGCCGCCGCCGCCGCCGCCGCCACCCCCACCACCAGCACCAGCTCCAGCACCAGCACCAGCACCAGCACCAGCACCAGCACCAGCACCGCCACCACCACCACCGCCACCGCCACCGCCGCCGCCACCGCCACCGCCACCGCCACCGCCACCGCCACCGCCACCGCCACCACCCACCGACAGGCAATCAGCCCGCTCGGCTGACGCAGTGTAGTACCGAGACCAAGTGCAGTCACCGTGATGGTCAAAAGGCATGACACAACCGATAGCATGAAACTTTTTAGTGAACATAATGTCAGGGTGAAACACAGGCAGGCCCGGAAAAAAACAACAAGAGAGCCTGCACCTGGGTGGGTTCCGCCAGGCGAGCTCTGAGTCAGATGTGGCGAGTCTGAGCCAGCGCGTAGCTTCTTTCCGCAGCTCCGGCTGAGGCTCACCTGAACTACCTGCTCATTAGGACCCCACAGCCAAAGGGCAACCGAAACCGATAGAAATACGATCACCTGGCTGGGGCCTGTAAACATTGACAGCTTGTGTCCCACAACTGCTCCAACCCTGAGCCTAGAAGTCGAGTTCAACCCTCAATTCAACAAGGCCGGGTCCAAATTTCGGAGCGCGCAGTCGGACCGGAGATGAATTGAGAGTTTCAGGTATCAAGACAACACTACATGCTGACTATGCATGGAAGGAGTCTTATCTTGCTTGTCAAATAGTTGTTAATTGGCCAGGCTTAAATTCGACGGTTGGGTAGGGGTTTATTTCTTAGGGGCTTGATATTGCGAAAGTGCTGCACATCGCATTGAAAACCCGTTAAAGCTCCACATTCCCGGACCAATTGCAAAGAATGTTCACTGGATCAGACACTTCCTGACCACCTCCTTGCAGTTGTCCCTAGCCGCCTCATGACCCGGAAGCTGCTTTCTGCAGGACCGAACTGTACAGGAGACACCCGTGTTTACAGTTCCAGGGGTTTCTAGAATTTGGAGACTCGAATCACTCGAATCCAACACTTTTGCACTGGTTGTGGGTGTGGTGCCGCAGGGCAATTGTCTAATTTGTCTATGAGATGGTAAGGAATGTTAGGCAATCGGCATCGGGGTTGCATAGCAAACCTTTCGTCTATGGTGTGGCTGAGCTGTAAGCGATTGCACCCATCACATGCTTCCAACCCAGTGGTAGACAGCAACCAAGCATATCTTCCGAATGCAAGCATCTTACCGCTACTGCATGTTTGGGCATAGTTTACTTGCAAGGTTTCCTTCTATAATAACCCCCTTGGAAAGATTGGAATGTTGCCCTTGGTTGCTGCAGAACCCTCTTCACCGGAATCCATGCAGGTGGCACATGTACACGGACTAACGAGGCATGATCTGGCTCGGTCGTTGTCGGACCTTTGCTGGCCTGACCGGCCATGTCCGCAGCATCCAGCACTCATTCTGAAAAGACCGGACAAAACAGGCGACCAACCTACACGTTTAGATGGACGAGTTCTCAGCAACGCAGAGCACTTGTCACGATCTGGCATGATCGCATCACCAGGAGTGTCACTGACTAACCTATACATGCAGCCATGACAGCCTTTTGAGCGACATGGATTTGCACAGGCGTGTGCCACCGGAGAAGTGGCCCGCTTATGTTGAGCCCTTTCGTTTTGCTAGGCTTTGGGGTTGATGGTGTTTCGCTTCTTTTCGAAGCGATCTTACACCATGCATGGAAGATACCCCGAGGTGGTGTATCACCCGTGCAGAATTCCAAGCTTTCGTGCGGGATGTACGGCGCCTCTGGCGTCAGGGCAGAATACCGGACAGCGCAGAAGAGCAGACCTCGCCTCTGGTATGCGTTGGATGGAAGCAGTGCCCGTAGGCTTTTTCCGGCTGCTGATTTGTTCGTTCTTCCATCGCCATCCATCCCTAAGCCCTAGCAGCCTTAACCCGGTCCGAAAACGCATGTATGCGAGATTCCGAAACAGACCAAAGTTCTGCAGTGATTCCTCAAAAAGTTGTGTTTTTGTTTTCATATTTCTTGCTGGGCTCCTGCAGCGAAGGCTCCGAGAGAGCGACGGACCCAATCTGTACCAGGCGAGTTTCGGGTACGAGCGGTTTTGGAGCTTTAGGCCTCGCCATCGCTACTTGTATCCCTAGGTTTCTTACAGCGTCGTAATCCTTAGAGGTCCAAGCAGGTTGTCGTTGTTGCCGATGTATGGACCCCTGCACTTGCCTTCCCTTCAAGATCGAATGCCTGTTCATTTTCTTGCCTCCCCCCTCTAACTTGCAGGTCAATGAGCATTATGTCAAGCCGTTGACGCTGGCGGCCGGTGGCATGAGCTACGCACTGATGAACCTTTGACGTGAGCCGTGTAAGTGTAGGGTCTTGGGTAAAGAAACCACAACTAGGTGTTTTCTCGAATAACGGACGTAGCGGACATGCTGGGCTTCAAGACTTAGCTCTATTCTCAACTGCCATGTACTTCGCGCCGATATGAAAAGCGAACACCTATTCCTGGCAAAGCACTGAGGTCTTTAGACATTGGCAGCAAGCCGGGCATCAGAACACTGTCAAGCTGAGTAGGTATAAACATCCGGATGCAAAGAGCCAAAACTGAGCAGCGGAGCACGTAAGAATGCGCCTAGAGCTGCCTGCGCCTCACATCCCGCTCTTCGTAGGCTCCCCGTCAAGAGTCCCCCAGGCCCAGGACGAAGCACGAGGAAGCCCCGGCACCACTGGGCCTTCACTTAGTACTTAATCCCACCCTAACCCCCCAGGTACCTACTATATAGGGTACTAGAGCCCCTAGGGCCCTATATAGTAGGTACCTGGGGGGTTAGGGCTAATTTCAAGCCTCGAATCCCAAACCCCTCAAATGCCCCGTACGCCCTGAAGCGACTTTGGCCGAAAAGTTCAAAGTCTGCCTACAGTCTCCATTGTAGTTCCTTTTTGGGGATGCCTTGTAAAATCCGTATTATACTATGGGTTAAACCAAAAAAAGGAACTACAATGGAGACTATAGGTGTACATCCGATCCAGCCAAGGAAGCATCCCGAAGGCTTGCTTTGCCAGGCCCTGCTTCCTGAAATCGGCTTTTTGTTGGGTTTAGGGTTTAGGGTTTAGGGTTTAGGATCGGCTTTTTTGTTAGGTCGTGGGTACGAAGTGTCATGATTAGGGATTCGGGATGATAAGGGTGTATAGGGTTTATAGGGCTTAGGGATCATCATGGTTGAGTGCTAGTCTACAGAGTTTAGGATTCGACTTTTGAAGGATTCTGCACCTTCGGGTTTCTGGCACAGTGCTCAGAGCATCAACGGAGTTTCTTTGCTTTTGCTGCGAAAGTGTGGCGCAAGCAGGGGAGCGAGCTATGCTGTTTCGGCATTCCTGTAGACAGCAGGCACTCCGTATGGCAGTGGCTACTATCCTCAATATGTGGGGCCGGAGGTTGGGCACGCGTAGCACAAGCAGTAGCAGAGGTATCGTGTACGGGAGCACTGTCTATTCTAGAAAGCCTCACGAGGGCAGATAATAAGACTGTTTAGACTGGTTTCATGGAGCCGGCCCTGATTCCAAGATCAGCCAAAGTTAGCGATTTGGTTTGAGGGCTGTGGGGGATTACCCTAACCCCCCAGGTACCTACTATATAGGGCCCTAGGGGCTCTAGTACCCTATATAGTAGGTACCTGGGGGGTTAGGATTATGTAGAGTTTAGCAGTTTGGGTTGCGGGACTCCATGTCCCAATCTTCATATCCACTCAGCCGAAGCTCCGAAGCGAGACCAGTTCCAAGGAGCATCTCGTCCCGTGCACGAAATGCTAGCCCAGCCATGACCTGATATCCCCGTGGACAGCTCTTAAACGGTCCAGGTCTTCATTTCCCACGCTTGGGCAGAGTGCCTTTTCGAGCTCGGTGACCTTGCACTTCGGCCGAAGAGTTCGGGGGACCTAGTACTGGTATTAGTAATATATAGTCTACTCGTAACAGCATTCGTATTCGTATTCCAGGCTGTGGAGCCAGTGCCAGTGTTAAGCTCGACCCGCGCTCTCCAGGTGCCATTCTGTCAGGCCGGCTTAGCAATAGAACCAGCCGACGCTGGCTGTAGATGTGAAGCTGCACATAGGGCTTCCAATACATGGGGAAGTCCGAGCTGGACCCTTCAAGCCTCAATCCTGAAACCCGTAACCGCCAAGCCAACCTCGCTTGCCGGCATAGTCCTGTAGGGGAAGACTCTGAGAAGTCTCAAGCCCAATCCTCCCGACTCTTCAGCCCTTTGGGTCCGCAAGGCTCGAGGGCCGAACTCCAAAACCCCATGAAACGCAAGCAAAACACCCAACCGCACATACCCTAAAACTCCAACACACGCTTAAGCATTAACATCCCTCAGGAACTTAGGTTTTAAATATGGGTTTACGTTGCTAGAGGTGCCCTTTTGAGAACCCAGCTGTGTCCAAGGTCCGCAGGACCTGGCCTCGGCTGCAGGGCCTCCGAAATATGCAACTTGCTCACGAGGTCTCTCAGAGAGAGAGAGAGAGAGAGATATATATATATATATATATACATATATATATATATATAGTATTGTTTGTGTGTTTGTTTGTGTGTGTGTGTGCGTGCGCGACTGCGCGTGCTTTAAAATGTTGGGTTGCTGCGGGGCTGTTATGTGTGTATGTTTGTATGTTTGTATGTTTGTATGTTTGTATGTTTGTATGTTTGTATGTATGTATGTATGTATGTATGTATGTATGTATGTAACATGTATGTACGTATGCACGTATGTATATGCAATGTGTATGGGTGTCTGTACATATATATATATATATATATGATCCCGGTTCGGCCGGCCCCCCCCCTCCCCCCCCCAATGGTTGTTCCTCCCCCTCCCTGTGGTGTGGT